TGATCCATCTGGATATGATTTAATATATTTCATAGGATAATCCCCTATTGTCCAACACAAAAAACCATAACTTACTCTAATCATCCAGGAGGATCGTCCTGGTCGTCCTGAGACATTTTTGAAATGATATGGAGATTACCACCCATCATCTAATGTCATACTAGATGATCAATATGGTATATTGAACTAATCATCTCGGACAATTGAAAGATCATACTGGACGATATGTACCAATTCTTGTATTGATCGTACAGAGCAAAGGTGATTATCCTGCCTGATAGGGCTATTTTGTACTAGTCCTAGACGATCAGTTACGCAGAAGTGAAAATTTGGGCTTCTTTTGGGGGATCTCTATTTAAGTAATGGTATTAACCCTTGGGTTAATCTTTTTGTTGTGGAGTTAATCTAAGAGTGTGCTTAGAGAAGAAAGAGGGAGAGAGAGAGAGAGAGAGAGAGAGAGAGAGAGAGAGAGAGATAAAGAGAGAGAGAGAGATCATTTTGAGGGGGAGTTTGTGAGGGAATCACAAAGGTTTCTCTAAGCAAGGTGTTCGTCATCTTCCTTGAGTATTTCCACTGGTTCCTTAGTGGCTACGGAGAGATCATCTTCAGTATTAGATCCAGGTTCTCTTCCTACTCCAGAAGGGAATAAAAGGTTTCCTGGGTTCTCTGCCATCACCAAATGGGTGAAAAAGGATTCAAGGTTTTCTACCTCACCGTATCAATGGAAAAATTTTAAAAGGGCTTCTCCGTCTTGCTGTGAGAGCAAAAGTAGAGTCACTTCAGTTTAGCGTAATACTTGGAGAGGGAGTCTCCAAGGAGTAGACTTAGGTTATATTTGACCGAACTATTATAAAACTCATTGTGTTCTTTCTTATTATTTTCACCGCATTTTATTTCTGCACTTTTTCTGTGATTTATTTGGAGATTGAAATATCTGTTCATATTGCTATTATGAAAATTAGTTTTCTTCTGCATCAAGAGTTATTGTTTTTCTTTAAAATATTTAAAAAGATTTTCTTTTTATTTAAGAATCTTTAAAACAACCAATTCACCCTCCTCTTGGTTAGCATCAGGCTAGTTCTTTAGGATTTAAGACCCCTCATGAACTTTCAACTTGACCCTTGTTCTCCAAGAAATCACCATCTTATTAAGAAATTGTGTCATTTAAAGAATAACTAGGCTTACCCTAGAGTTCAACTTAATGGATTCACCCTCTCATCAATTCTTACATGTGGTGTACATACCATCAAAATGCTGGGCAATGTAAATTCTCTAGATGGTTATGGCATTCCATAGACACAATCACCTATAACTACAATTATTTTCTACAAGGTGAAATTAAAAAGGTGGAATTCTGTAAGATTTATAATTTCATAAAGAAAAAGGTTATGACAAATAATTTTAGGTTAAATATCAAATTACTACGGTTAATTGCCAATATTTACCAAGGCTTTATTCTTTTTGCCAATTATGATGGCCAAAAAGGCTCTTATTGTAAGAATTCAAATTCAAAAGATTTAGTATAACATACCATCAGTGGAAAAAATGTACCTCCTCATATTGAGTGTTACAATTAATTCTTAGAATATCACTATTTTAGGTTAAATAGATTTATTCATTCTACAATGGAAACCACTCATTGGCCAGTTGAAATTAAGTCTTAAAGCTAGCACAATATTAATAAATAAGTTGTTCATTTATAAGATTAAAAATGTTTTTTTTACTGGGTCCTCCTCTTTTGCTCCTGGGCCGAATGTCTTCAACTTTGAGTTTCATTAAAAAAAACCTAGAATGTCTTCAACTTTGAGTTTTACTGGGTCCTCCTCTTTTGCTCCTGGCTGAATGTCTTCAACTTTGAGTTTCAAAAAAGATCCTAGATTATTGTTATCCCTCTTTTATGTAAGGCCATTAAATATTTCTTCAACAAAAATTACATTCCAAGAAAGAGCAATGCCACAGCTCTTCCTTTGATCCCTAAAAGAAGCCATTTTTCTTCCATTGCTGACTTTAGACCTATTTCACTGTGCAATGTCTTCTACAAAGTTAATGCCCAAATTCTAGCGAACAAAATGAAGTTCATCATGTCGCATGTCTTCATGAAAAAACAATATGGTTTTATTCATCAAAGAATTTCCACTGGCAATGTGCTCCTTGCATTGGAGCTGCTTAGAGATTTTAACAATAATTCCAATAGGAGGTTTTTTTGTGCTAAGTTCGACATTAGAAAAATCTTTTGATTTGGTTTCTTGGAACTTTATTTTAGCTAGGATGGCCCAAAAAGGTTTCCCTAGCATTTTCATTTCTTAGGTAAAAGTATGAATCTTTGATGTACATTTTTTATATGTATAGATGAGGGTCTTCAAAGGTTACTTTAGCCATTCATATAGTCTTAGGTAGGGATGTCCTTTAAGCCCCTATCTCTTCAACATTGACATGGACGCCTTCCCCTGTCTTTGTGATCTCCCTGCTAGCCCCTCTCCATTCCAATGCCTCTTTTCTGATAACCTCAGTATCTCCAACTTTTTTATGTTGATGACCTATTAGCGTTTGGGAGAGCCTCCCATCAAAATTGCTCTTCTATTCCTCCATCCTTCAAAATTTTGCTAGTTGCTCTTGCCTGCATATCAATCATGCTAAAAGCTCCTTAATCCCTGCCCCGAACACTCCCAACTCTGCTACCATATGTGAAATTCTTCAACTCAATAACCATTACACCAACATGACTTACCTTGGCCTTCTCTACTAACCTATTCGTTTAGAGCAAAATATATTTCCCCATGGAAGACTCCATCCATTAGGGCCTCAAAGCCTTAGAAGGCATGTGATACTGCTTCTTTGGTGACTAATAAAACTAATTTCATTATTATTGTTGATTGTTCCATCTCCTTGCTTTGGGGCCATTAGTTCAATAGCTTACCTTCAAATGCTCAACCTGCCTCCTTTTCATTGAACACTTATTTTTCCTCCCATGCTTCTATTTCAATTCTCTCAGGGCATATCTACAATCTCTCTTGTTAAAATATGCTGGCTTCTAACATATATGCATCCCCATTCATGATTATTTTTCTTCCTGTCTTATTTGGAATCTACATGGCAACATGAATGAGAATTTTCATAACTTCATACTGGAATATTTTTCTAGTTTTTGTATTTTCTATTGGTTTCGTTTTGTGTGACATAAACACTCTATCCTAAAATATTCCACTTATGTTTGGATGGCAATGTTGAGGGGACTTAATATTGCTGACATTTTAAGATTGAGGAACATTCATGTTGAAAAAATTGCTATTTATGCATTCAGTTGGATGAATATACTCCACATTTATTCTTTAAATGTGATTATTCTTTTAATGTGCTTGCACATATACTGCATGTTCTCTCTAAGTTCCTGTTTAGGCCAAATATTATCCATTTTTTCTTATATGAGAAATGCCATCTCTCTAGAGGTTTTAAGGAATTATCATTCCTTATGGTTTGCTGCATAATTTATCACTTGTGACATGAAAGGAACAATAGGAAAATTGGACAAAATTTTTTTAGTATTGACACTCTATGACTTATCATTAAGATCTTGGCAACTTATTAAATTTGCTGCTCATTTTTAATTCAATTGTTGCTCCAGCTGGTTACGTTGGTCAGTCCTGCTACTTTTCTCTAGATATTACTATTTTTCTTTCAGCTACCCAAGATGTTATTTTTTCAATCGAATATGTTGTCTACTGGTGTGCCGAGATCTTCTATATGATATTTATAAAGTTTTTGTGTGGTGGGAATTTTTGCTGGCCTTGGATGATGATGATATTCCCTTTACTCCAGACCATTTCCTCTTGGATGGTCATTGTGGCAACCTAGAAAATTTCCCCTCAAAGAAGCTGAACACTTACCCTCTTCTATATGAGTCCAAGCTTACGGAGCTCCTTTTTTATTTGTAATTTTAGACATTATACTTTTTCATATTTTACTTGACAACAACATTTTGTTGAGATAGCGTATTTTTGTTTATAGGGTTGACTATACTTTCTTAGTTGAGCCTAGTTCTTTTTGATAGCTGCTCATGGAGCTTCTCTCTCTAATTAAAATTGAACTTAAACTTTTTATATTTATAATTATAAATCAAATTTAAAATATTTTCTCTCTTTTAAATAGTTAAAATTTAAATATCTAAAAGATTTTTTTTTTAATTGTAATAATAATTTTTATTTAGATATATTTAATTTAAATAATTATTACATTTAATAGTTATGTATATTAAAAAAAATATATTTATTTAAATATCTAAAAGATTATTTTATTATAAAAAAAATTATTAATGAAGAAATTATTACATTTAAATATAATATTACATATACTTATTTGCTCCTTTTTACTTTTTTTTAATTTCATTCTTTTTTCATAAAATAAATTTAATTGAGGTCCTAAATTTATCTTTTTTATATAAAATTAACATTCACATTTCTTGTCTAATATAACAATACTCAATTTATTAAAAATTTAAAATCCAAGAAGTCTAAAACAGCTTGGCATTTTCAAATCGCAACCACGTTGACATTTACCAAACTTCTGACATTTTTCAAAATTTTGCTATCCATAAGCATGTAACGGAGCTCATCACCAAAAAAATTACAATTTCTAAATAAAACTTTTTTTATAACTGTATCATCTGCACTGCTAAAAATTTTCATGATAACTTTTCTTTGATAATTTTACAAAACCAACTACCTGATAATTTCATTGTTACTTTTATTTTTTCATTTTAAGAATTTGAATGTTCAACATGCAAATGCAAATACATAGGCATAGACTTCAGTAGGTACTCTCGGTGTAATTTATAAATAAGAAAATTTTAAACAAAATGTCTCATATCCAAACATTTATAGTTTTGTTGCCTTGATTTTAATAACTGAGAGAAAATTCATGAGTACCACTTAAATCATTAATATGTTAGAAAATTTCAGATAGGATGCATATACTTACGAAATATACTCCACTATTTTGCACATAAAAAAAAAAGTGATTGCTGAAAACAAAATTAATAATTTATGATATGTTTAACTTTGAATTCTATACGCCAAATGTCATATTTTAGCAAGCTTGTACTGGTGAAAGAGTCACACAATAGAAGAATCTGGGGTAGCTTCTTTAAGACTTTCAGATCTTAATTTCATGAGCAGCCTGCCCAAATAATTCAGGCCCTCCCCTTCTCGACCACCTCCCCAGAATAGATCATGTGGCGAAGCTTCAACGAGAACAAATCCTACCGTTGAGCGCAACAAGGAGTTCAAGTGAGGGTGCATTGAGAACTTACATCTGAGACCCCTGTACATGACATCAATCTTCACGGTATCCCAATCAGGATGTACCTGCAATTCTATAAAAATATGAGAACGCATAACTGTCAAAATCCGATCAACAAAAATACAAATTAAAACAACGTCAAGCATCTATCCACTCCAGGTCTATAAATAACCATTCTACTAAGCTTTACAACAACACAAAAAATGGCAGGCACCAGGAGAGTTAGACACCATAAAACAATTCAGCACACATTGGTAATGACAGGTAGATTAATGGGTTAGCAATGATCGGTTCATAGAAACATATAATTCCTAGATGTTCAATAAAGAATGATCAGTAGTTGACAGCAACAAAATAGGAAATTAGTTTATATTATCAGAAAAAAATTCTCAAATAATTTATTTACATACACCCAGTCTATTGTATTTGACAAACAATTTGATCTAGGTTCACCGATATCAAGGAAGCCAGATTTTATGATTGACGCATAATTCCTCAAACAGTAAAACTGAGTAAATTCATTTCTAAAGAGCAATTTTTCCTTCATCTAGACCTATGCAGCAGATAGCACGTGCTTGATGAATGTTCCTTTCATAGAATGTTCATTATGCAAAAACTATGCTATATATATATATATGACATGGTATGCTCAGTCTTCAATCTATGATTATAACATCCATGTTATGATAATTATTATGCTCACTGTACGGTTTATACTAATGATATCAATATTTCTCTATGTTATGACCCTATTTGATATTAATATGATTACAATGCTGCTGCACGTAAATCATTTTAATGATATGAATATGTTATTTCTGTGAATATTATTACGGGTGCTAATTGCCATGATTATTGCATTCATTGCCAAAATAAATTATAAGCCACTTGCCATGATCATAAATTTTCAGCTGTTATCTTTATACCTTAGAAATACAACACATGCATTTTATTGTTTGACCCTTTATTGATCTCTCTAAGCTTAAGTTATCAAAAGTAATGTCAAATTATTGAAAAAAAATCTTTGAATAAATCTATATTTCCTCACAATATTTAAACATTCAATCACTATCACACATATTACTTCGAAAAATACTATGTTTTCTACTATTTAGAAAATAATTTTACTCATTTGGTTATATATACAAAAGATACTCTAGTATATGTTGATATCATTTTATGTCACATGGGCTTTAGTGGGTTTCTAAAAGCTAACATTGCTAAGAAAAAAATGTAAAAGTTAAGTTTATAACTAGTTGTATTTTGAATTTAGATGCCCTGATTATTATTTTGTAACATGAATCCATATCGTCTTATCAGTTTCTACAGATGGCTCTTTTGAACCTTCACCTAATCCACTCCCACCAACAGCAGAGCTCATTTTGTTTTAAAATATACTAGTGTAACAAACCAATCATACATAGGAATACATCAAGTTAAATTGATATGAAGTGAAATCAAAATATCCTAATAATAAGACAACATGAATACAACAATATACCGGTCTGTCGAGGATCCAAGGGGGCACTGCCCCGTGGCAGGGTTCGACCTATTTTGAAGTTCTGCTTGTTTTTAAGGTTCGTAAGTTATTTGTATGGGAAGATACTGAGCGGTACCGAGCATGTACCGAATGGCACCGAACATGTACCGAGCGATATCGAGCATGTACTGAGCGGTACCGAGTATGAACTGAGCGATACTGAGTATATACCTAGCGGTACCGAGCATGTAAATTAGCTTTTTCAACAATGAAGAGAAGAAATGGAGAAATCCACTTACAAGTCTTGGCTCTCTTGCGCGCAGAAGGTGCTCTGTTTGGCGTTGATTGCGAACTTTGCCTCGGCTGACCGCATAAATCACGCAGAAATGACGAGCTCGGCTTGGCTTCGGCTCGAGCAGGAATGACGAAGGAACGGGAGGCAAAGGCAGCGGGCTCCATTTGGCGTTGGCTGCGATGTCGCTCGGTCCACCCTAGAAGATTTCTTTCGTGGATCGGAAAAATAGGTCTTCTCATTCGCGAAAAAGGCTAAATAGAACGAATCGGACGATTTTCTCATTTAATAACCGGACACGCGTGTCAGGTTTTAATTTTAATTTTTTTAATTGCGACACTCCAATGCCGTGTCAGACATGTGTCCATGCAGTGTCAGACGCGTGACCGTGTCCGACACGTTTCCAACACTGCATACCCTCTTTAAGCGGAGTGTCGGTGCATCATAGGCGCAACCCTTGCACCTCCAATGTTCTAATCTTACATCCATATATTCTAGCAGTGTAGCCGGTAGTGAGGGCGAGGGTGTATGATCTCCAATGGCTTTTCTCAGTTGTGACACATGAAATATTGGATGGATAGTTAAAGTTAGTGGCAATTATAGGCGATAGGCGACTACACCAATGCGCTCCACGGCCTCATAGAGCCCAAAGTATCGGGGGATAGCTTCTCATTCCCTTGTCAAGCTAGAATCCTCTATTTGTAAGTTTGGATCTTCAAATAAACTCGATCCCCAATCTCAAACTGCACATGCCTCCTATGTCCATCTGCCCGCTTCTTCATAATTTATTTTGCTCGCAGTAGATGTCCTCTCAATTCTATCAAAATTCGACTGTTTCACTTAAGTACTGTTCCACTGACGACACTGGGTGTTGCCATGCCCATAATGTAGCTGATGACAAGGATCCTTCCCATATAGGATTTTAAATGGTGTTGTCTGAGTAGTTGTATGATATGAAGTGTTATACCAATACTCTTCCTAGGCTAACCATTTGGCCCACATTTTTGGTGTATTTGAGATAAAGCAACAAAGATAAATCTCCATAGTGTGATTCACCACCTTCTAGCCATTGAGGGGTGATAAGCAGTACTCCACTACAAGATAGTCTCTTGCATCTTAAATAGTTCCCTCCATAAATGACTCAGAAATACCTTGTCCTAATTAGACACTATGGACTCAGGTATGCCATCCCAATGGACCACCTCTCTAATGAAAGCGATTGCCACTGATACCTCGGTGTATGGGAGGCGTAGGGGAATGAAATGAGGGTATTTTCTCAATCTGTCCACCACCACCAGAATCTAATATTGCTAACATAGGGGCACTAGTCACATCTTTCTTCAAGTCGCTGCTCAAATGTTTGAGTGACTGTCTCCCCCAATTTGAAATTATCTTTCTTTAGCTGCTTTGTCAATAGCCAGGCTATAGAGCTATATCCCTTCACAAACCTTCTATAATATCCTATGAGTACCTAAGAAACCCCTTAGCCCCTTCAAAGTTTTAGGCACTGGCCACTCCACCATTGTCTCTTTCTTGGTTGGATAAGTTGACACCCCGACTTGAGACACTATATGTCCCAAATACACCATCCTATGCTGCCCAAAAGAACACTTCTTCAATTTGGCATATAGTTGGTGCTTCTTTCAAGTTCCCAAACCATCCTCAAGTGCTCCAAGTGCTTCTCCCATGACTTGCTATAGATAATGATGTCATCAAAGAATACTAGAGCAAACCTAAGAGGATAAGGCTTAAACACCTTATTCATGAGTGACTATAAAGTGACATGGGCGTTAGTGAGACCAAAATGCATCACCAAGAACTCATAGTGACCCTCTTAAGTTCTGAAAGCCATCATATGGGTGTCCTTCGGTCGCATCCTGATCAAGTGATACACAGACATCAAATTAATATTTGAGAACACCACCGAGCCATGCGACCCATTTAGCAGCTCATTAATGATTGCTATGAGAAACCTTTCCGATATAGTCTCCTTCTTCAAGCCATGATAATATACACAAAATCTCCAATTGTCATCATTCTTTTTCACCAATAATATAGGACCAGAGAAAGGACTCATACTGGGCTTGATGATCTTAGCTCCAAGCATCTCCCAAATCAACCTCTCTATCTCATCCTTCTGGACCTATGGGTAGTGGTATGGTCAGACAACAATGGGAGAGACTCCTTCCTTCATAATAATAGCATGCTCGTGCTCCCGTGAAGGAGGCAATCCTCATGGAGGTTGGAATACCTAACTGAACTACTGGAGAAGCGGCTGAACTACTTTTGGAATGACCTTTATCTCTCTGGTGTCTCCTCGCTCCAAAAATATAGAGCTCCACCAAGAACCCCACTCACCCTGTATGGTACACACCATGATTTACAGGAAAACCATTGCTTTGGATAAACTAGGGACTTCATTAAATCACCACCTTTCTACCCTCCACTTGGATATCTATAGCTAAGGTCTTCTAGTCAACCTTGGTCTCCCCAAGGTTTGGAGCCACCTCATACCCAAGATCAAATCCACAATTTCCAACTCCAGTGCAAAAAAATCATCCCTAATGCTAATCCCTAAGAGATTCTCCTGCTCTTCTCCACCTCCCTTATGTCCATCATCACCCCAAAGTATCCCGTATCTACCAGCTTCAGCCCTAGCTTGTCAACCACCTTATTCGATATGAAATTGTTGGTATCCCCACTATCCACAAAAAGGTGGAAGAGATATTTTGCTAAGCTTTTCAATGAAGATTATGATAATACGATTGACTTAGTAATCTTTGCACTCTAAGTGGAAATAGAGATTTTTATTTTTATCAACATATTAATAAAACTGAAGTTAGAGAGGCTTTAAAGAAAATGAAGTGTGGAAAAACTATTGGACCTGATGATATTCCAATAGAGGTGTGGAAATACTTATGAGATGAAGAAATTTCTTGGCTTACTAAACTTTTAAAATATTATTTTGAGGACTAAAATGATGCCAAATGAGTGGAGAATTAGTGTGATAATTCTTATACCGATGAATAAAAAAAAGAAATAAAAAAAACACAAAACCTGAAGCAACCCAAAAAAAAAAAAAGCACAGCGTAAAAAACAAAAAAAAAAAAAAGGGTAAAACAAAAAAAAAAAAAAACCAAAAAAAAAATATAAAAAAACAAAAAAATAAAGCCGAACCAAAGGCGAAAAAAAAAAACAAAATAAAAAAAAACAACAAAAAGGCTGACGAAGCAAAGATCAAAAAAAAAAATAAAGACAAACAAGCCTTAGAATCATAAATATTAAAAAAAAAA